CTGAGCTATATACTGAACTATGTTTCCTGAGCTATATACTGAACTATGTACCCTAAGCTATATACTGAACTACTATGTTCCCTGAGCTATATACTGAACTATGTTCCCTAAGCTATATACTGAACTACTATGTTCCCTAAGCTATATACTGAACTACTATGTTCCTCACCTGATATTGATAGTTCTTGCTGTCTGGTCGATTTGTTTCCACGATGCCGCTGACTTTGTCGATCTTACAATGCAGCCGACCCTGGGCAATAAACCGCGACAGTTCCCTGCGGGGTAATCAAATCAGGAGCGTTATTCACTAACACAAGCAACGCAAACGAGCATGACCTAACACGCATTACACGCTTGTTTATCCCCGAGGTTCCGTCACACAAAGAAGGCATACAAACTATCTGACGTCTCTATTTACAAACTTCTAACGCGCTGGAATCGTGACACAAGACCAGGAGAGGCGTTATGAAACACTAGCTCATTTATTTATGGGTCTTGTCACCTCCTGCCATCTGGTGACAATCCAAAGCAACTTTAGTCAACTTGACCGAGACAGCTATATACAGCAGTTGTAGAGGCTGTTGCTAACAGATCGATTACTTGTATTTATCATAGATTAAAGAGAGAAAGAGAGAGCGTGTGAGAGAGAGAGAGAGAGAGAGAGAGAGTGAGAGAGAGAAGAGAGAGAGACAGAAGAGAGAGAGAGAGAGAGAGAGCGACGGGCGACCGCTAAGGACACGTAGACTGAGTAGAATGGGAACCGCGACCAAGAAGCCGCGACGATGAGCTGGGAAGATAACGAACCAGAAGCGAGAGGAGGAGGGAGAGAAGAGCAGGGAGAAAGCGTGACAGCAGATTAAGAGAGAAGAGACATGAAGAAAAAGAGAGAGAGAGAGAGAAGAAAGAGACAGAGATAGAGAAAGAAAAGAAAGAAAACGAGAGAGAGAGATCTAGAGAAAGAAAAAGAAAGAAAGAGAAAGAGAGACAGAGAGAGAGAAGAGATAGAGAATAAAAGAAAGAAAGAGAGAGAGAGAGAGCAGCCGAGAGAGAGAGAGATAAGAGCAAAAAACCAAGAACAGAAGAGGCCGAGAGAGAGAGAGGAACAGAAGAAGAGACAAGAGATAAGAAAGAAAGAAAAGAGAAAGAAGAGAGAGAGAGTGCCGCGATACGAGCGACAGACAGAAGGTGAAGGAGATGTACACGAACGCTCACATTGTCGCATGAAGTTGACGGACACGCCGAACAGCGTCGGCCATGTAGCTGAGGGTGAGGCTGCGGTAGGACTCCAGCAGCGTGCGTACGCTGAGCACGCATCCTCGCACGGTAGTAGCGAAGGCGGGTGAAGTGCCGTTTAGTACCTCATGCCCATCGGCCCTACATCTAACAGCTGTCAGGCCAAGCATCAGTGCAGCCAGGAACATCGGTTTTATCTTAATGTGATCACCCGTCACCTGTAAATAGTAAATTAAATATAAAAAATATTGCCAACTTTTTCCCACAAAATATATAGTTATTTCTGTTCACTGTTATTAATGGATTAGTATATTTCCCTGTCATGTATATCTTCCTGTTTTACCTATAGTTGTTTTATGTTGATCACTCCACTCGTGACTCGATACATTAGCCCATTAGTCACATGCATATTATAATGTTGTGGATAACATTAATATTGCCAAATCGGATCCAGTGTTTTTTGGATTTTTAAGCTAGTTGCACGAAACCAATTCTTATTTCTTAGGTAGGAATTTGACGATGCGTTTAGACTCCCGTTAGTTCTTATACTTTGTACATGTAAAAAAATGGTAAACGATTGCATTTTACAAATTTACCATAGAAAATTCGTGGACGTAGTGCAATTTAATAACATCAGTTGTTCATGGGTACAATCCTTACAGCCGCGACAAAGGCATCAAACGCTAAATTTTCTCATAGTAACTGGAGACTAGCAAATACGACTTTGTGTCATGCATAATGCACAACTAACCTATGACCAAAGAGAGAACTCTAGTGTCTTCGCGCATTACTGCGCTCTGCTTATAAAATGGTATATTGAACCATACCTCGAATGTTGTTCAAATTCTCCGATGTATTGTTGACAGTTTCGCGTTGCCTCCCAAGCAACCGTGCAGCGGCCCGCGGTACAGCGTAGCGGGTGTAGGCAAAAGATAGAAAACACGTGACGTCACCTAACGACTTCGAGGCAAAATTGTTTGGCACCAGTCGGCGTTGGGCGCCCAATATCCATTTTCTCAACCTCTTTTTCTTGTGGTTATTAAGCAAACGCGCAGTGAAATGGGAGGAACTAGAGTTTATTTTGTCATAAGGTAGTGTGATTATGCATGCCACGAAGTATTTGCTAGTCTAGTACTGGAGAAATTAGCGTTTGGATGCGCATTGTGCGGCTTTAAATTATTTACCTTGACAGTTTCAGCTGTCGTTCTGACAGCCATCTTCAGAACTTCAGAATTCGTCACACTGTGTGACTTGTTCGTCACACTTCGTTCAACAACTGTGACGAATTCTGAAGTTCTGAAGATGGCTGTCAGAACGACAGCTGAAATAACTGTCAAGGTAAACAATTTAAGGATTTAACCATGAACAATGATGTTATTAATGTTTTAAGAGAAATCCGACTATGAACTTTCAAAATATGGGAGTTAGTTTAGTAAGTTTACACACAATGGAGAATCGCGAGTGACAGAAAGCACGTGCAGCAGACAGAATGAATCACCCTGACCCACTCATCAATCTCAAACAACACCTGCATACATTGTAACAAGACATGTGGATCCAGGATTCGCCTCGTCAGTCATCCCGAGGACCCACAGACATCCATAGCCTTCCCATGCGAGACAATCATCCTCAAACTCGAGGGATAGCCGATGAAGATGATGAGTTCACACACATATCAGCGTCGGTATACTTGCAACCCAGTCCCCCACACTAGCAGCCTTCCCCCTCCTCCTGCCCTGTGTGTCTCCGATCTGCTTCGAGTCGGACCGGCTAATTTTTAGTGGTTTCTACTATAGGTTATATTGTAGAAATAAAAGTTTTTTTTTAAATCGGGACCAGCTGGGGTTGTTCACACTTACTACTATAGGTTATATTGTAGAAATGAAAGTTTTTTTTAAAATCGGGACCAGCTAGGGTTGTTCACACTTACTACTATAGGTTATATTGTAGAAATGGAAGTTTTTTTAAAATCGGGACCAGCTGGGGTTGTTCACACTTACTACTATAGGTTATATTGTAGAAATGGAAGTTTTTTTTAAATCGGGACCAGCTAGGGTTGTTCACACTTACTACTATAGGTTATATTGTAGAAATGGATATGTTTTTTTAAAATCGGGACCAGCTGGGGTTGTTCACACTTATTACATTGCTAAGATATAAATATAAATCTACTAAATAACTCTACTACCCGTCTAAAGAGTATCACGTGCCGCAAACGAGAAAAGAAAAACTGGCCCGTCTTTCGCCCGACCCCCAAAGTACCGGGCTGAATACCTTAAAGGGGAGACGTGGTTTCTGCTATCTCATGTATCGAATATATCAGTGGTGGGCAAACTTCTCAAAGCGAGGGCCGCATCAGTGGGCCATAAAAAGTCAAAGGGCCGCACCTTTTAAAATCGGGCGGTGCGCTCTAAGATAATACGTGCGTTTCGCCTCAAGGGCGCCATCTCTGGACCATAATTAGCTGAAATGGCGTTGCAGAGCGAACCAGAGACAATAGAACACTAATCTGTATGACACTTAAAAAGTCAGCCTCGGTTCAAGCACAAACATGTTGACTTTCACAAAAATTTATTGATTTAAAAAAAATTTATTTTTTATTTTTTATTTGCTGTAGGCTTCCGCGGGCCGCACAGAACCCCGTAGAGGGCCGCATGCGGCCCGCGGGCCGCAGTTTGCCCACCCGTGGAATATATAGTTCCCACACATATCAGTGTCGGAAGCCGCAACCCGTCCGCCCTGCTTTGTGCTATCGCATGCACTCACCTAAGGACTTGAAGAACTTGTCGTACTGGCAGTTGTAGAGTGAGAAGAGTAGGAGTCTGGTGTCCGGCAGACCGTGGAGTACTTCCAAGATCTCTGCGCCTTTCACAACCTGCAGACAGCGAGAGGAGTGCGTGCTACTTCAGTAACGGTAGCAGAGACGGAGTACATGCCTCAGTAACGACAGAAAAGACAAGAGGCAGAGATAGAGAGATTACGAGCTACGGGAACCGATACATCGCTGGGGATGAGCTAGGCCAATGCATCCCTAACGGATACATGAACAAGTGCCTTAACTCTGAGGTAGGAAAGACGGCGTCATAATACAAGCTACCAGCATCGATACAACGATGGATATAAGCATAGTGATTATATATTATATTTACTTATATAATAAAAATTATATTTATTTTATTATTATAATGAATATTATGCATATTTATTAGATATAAACGTACTGATGCATCCCTAACGGATACATGGACAAGTGCCTTAAAGGGACAGTAGCCTCTAGGATTTTACTGCATACAACTGTACTTACTGTATAACAAATCGTCTATACCCACATGTATTTGTCACCAGATACT